CGGGCGAATGACTCGAACGACTGTAAATGTGTTTTTAGATTACAAGAAGATATAAAGAAACAACAAAAAAGAAAAAAAAATATTTCATTTTCATTCTGTGATGACTGTCTGAATATGAAGAGAAACAAAAAAGAAATGTTTTCATGAATCTATGCTGATTAATCAATTAAATTATTATATAGCGAGTATAAAGGGTTCGACTCGTGTTGTACTAATTGCGCAAAGGGATTCAAAGTGAAAGATCTACGAGCGTGAATATAATACGTGCGCCTCGTTCACCCTTAATGAAAGAGATAGAAGACGCGTTGTATTCGTATGGCGCGTGTTACAGGCGAATCGTCGAATTCGCTACTTCAAAGGAAAAGATTAAAAAAAGAAAGAAAAGAAGGGAGAACACGTACCCTATATCCGAATGATGCAGAAAACAAACAGTATGATTTGTATACTGTGTAACTTTAGTCGTTTACCATTGATTTCAAGAAATGTGTATAAATTATTATGTGTAACAACATGCGCGCGTGCGCGCACATGCACATATACAAGAAAACAAAAAATAAAAACCATACAAAAGATGTGAAAATTACAAAACCAACACTGCAAGGCCACTGTATTATACATTTGTGTAACTAAAATAGCGATGGTACAATTATGAAAATTATAAAGATACAATAAACACTTACCGTATGTCTTATATACACATATACAAATGCTATCTAAGTCACATGTTTTGTTCTTTAGAAAAGATATATCGAAAATGCCTGATTATGAGTTAACTATGAAATTCGGGACACGATATAACGTGAACCAAGATGTTGTATTACTTGTAACAAAATTTATATACCTACATGTTACATTTGAAAGTACACTATATTTATAAATATTAAGAGATTATTCAAACACTAGTATAACATACTAAAATACGATATTCGAAGGTTGAACAATTCATTCGGCGAGCATAGCAGATCTAATTCGCTGCTTTTGTCATATGCCTTTGCAAATACAAAAATTGTGCTTGTGATTCCAAGGAAGACAATTCCGACACGTAGGGCGCCATTTGTTGAACGTGGTTTTGATATTTTGAACCTGAAAATTCATTAGTATTATGATACAGTTCGGTTATTCATATGGATACAAAAAATACATACCCGTGGATTGCCTCTTTTGACCGTACACAACTTTTCCGTCGAACTCACTAATTGGAATGCGCATATTTTTATCAACTATTTCAATTGTGATATTTAAATGGTCTTCAATTTCAGCTAGATACTAAAAGAGAGAAAATTTGACAATCGAATGGCAGGAAACAACAAAAACAAAACGCTTTTTGTTAAAACTTACGTTTTGTTCGGTATACCAAGTACAGCAACCACCTTGGTCGGTAAGCCTGGTATCGTAACAGTTTCTTCCGCGATTAGGACACCATTCGCCGTGATACCACACCTTTTCAGGAACTGCACTACATAGAGAAATAGCCAGACCCATTCTTTCAGCTCTACCAACTCTACCTATACGGTGCACATAGTTGAATTTATCGTCAGGTAGAGTCATGTTAATACCTAAAAAAAAATTTGATCATGAGTAGATACATAAAAATTGCATGAAAATATATCAAGCATATATGGAGATTACGTACAGAAAGGTACTCCCGTAACATCTATGCCTCTAGCTGCAACGTCGGTGCAAATCAAGAACTTTACTTCTGCTTTTCTAAATTTTTCTAAATTAGATTTACGCTCGGGAGGTTTTCGATCACCGTGTAAACATACACATGAAAAATTATTTCCACGGCTCTGTTTCAGATACCGTTCCAAATTATCGCAATCTAATTTGGTTCTACAGAAAATAATAGCTCGGTTCATGTTGTTTTCTACGATAGCACGAACACAGTATTCGCCTTTTAATATTTTTGTACCCTCTGAATTTGTCTCTGTAAAACAAATTTAATTAAATATACAGAATTCGAAAATTATCATACAATTCGAAACATACCTGAATTAGAGGAACCAGGTGTTATATTATCTCTACTGTGTACACCATCAGTTTCTATATGATTTCTTAAGTTATGCCAAGATTTATCCTTTTGCGGATCTACCATTACAACAACATGATGCACTGTTTCGGGTACTGCATCTTCACCTTTTAAATCGATCCATGTCGGGAAATGCATCAAACGTTCCTACACACCGTGAATCTTTTCACATAATATTATATACAAATGTAAACAATTACAATTACAAATACTTACTGCCATCTTTTTTACTTCAAATGCATGCAATGTTGCTGAACAGACGATCATCTGCAATCTTTTCCCATCTGAAGTAATTTTCGGTATTTGTCTATGCAAACGATCAATTAATTCCGTGTACCCTGATCTCAATAGACCGTCAGCTTCATCTAAAATGAAAAATCTAAAACAAAATTATACTATAACAAAGATTATTTCAATAGGCTTAATCTGTAATGAATTTCGAAATACCTGCAATGTGTTAGCGACAAATAACCACCCTGTATTAAATCTTCTAAACGCCCTGGTGTTGCAACTACTATATCCACACCAGAATTTAATGTGGCTATTTGTTCTTTAACACTAACACCACCAACAATTAACAATTCTTTAACAGCAGGATCTTTCAAATATTTTTTAAACTAAAAAGAAATAACATTTAATACATCGAATATTTCAACTTCACTTATAATTATTAACACCTTACTTTTTGAATTTGATTATAAGTCTGCTCTGCAAGTTCCCTAGAGGGTTCTAAGATTATAGCTTGAGGGGCATTACTCTTAGGTTTGCCATCACTTTTGCTTTGAGTTTGAGTGCTGTTTACGGGATTTTCTCTTATAGCTTCCTTTGGAGCTGAGGCTACTGCTACATAATTGAATGGAGGTGGATGTTTAAATGGCTGTGCCCCAAAATTAAATGACATTTCTGCATTTTTCAGCACTACAGCTGGATAAAAGGTTTCTGATTTTAGTTGTGCATTCAGAGTAAATGCTACACCCAGATCTACACCATTTTTTGTGAAACTAATTTCACCAGCTGATAAATTTAAGAGGCACCCAATTACATCATGCATTCCAAAAGACTCTCCATAATTGTCAAATTGTTTTGCATGTGATTTTTTACCAGTACCACCAAAGCCAAAACTAAATTTATCTGTTCCTAAATCCAATGAAGCCTATTCCATAAATATAGTAATAATTATAATTTTTCTATAATGCGATTTTTGAAAAACTGATAAAAAATTAAGGTAATTACTTGAGATGTAGACCAGCCTACACGGCATAATCCTTCATCAGTTACTATAGCTTCAAAGTAATATTTGTCCTTTCCATGAATTCCCTTGTTTGCTCTGCAGCCATGCCATTCTTTTTGTTCACGACTTTGACATCTTAAACCATCTGGAGTTATAGCTAATGCTCTACCTCTATCAAATAAACTCAATGACCAATGTTTAGCTGCAATCAATTATAGCAATACCTTAGTGTGAAACATTGTATAACATGTTGCAGTCAGATTAAAAAATGACATACAGTATTGATGGTGTCCTGCAGAACTACTACTTGTTATACCAGATTCTAACTGTTTTAGAGTTTCCCATACAATTTGCAAAACTGGTAGACAGAAGGCACCAGTTTTTCCACTGCCAGTTTCTGCAGCCATCAATACATCTCCACCACCCAAAATTAATGGAACAGCTTCAGCTTGGACATCAGTTGGTAGTCTGCAATAAAATATTTCAATAGTACTCTTGTATGCAGAATTTTCTTGTTACAACTTCTAACAAAATTTTATTTTACTTACGCCCATTCCATATCATCGACTGCCTTTCCAATTTCTGGCAAAACACCCATTTCTAAAACGAAACGTTAGTAATGCAAAAACCGGTTTTGACAACTTTATCAAGAACATTTTCAATTATACGTAATTCTACTTATATGAGTACGACGTTAAAAATATGTTTAATCAAAAAAACTTACCCTCGAACGCCGTCATTATTATAACTTGTCTAGAATAAAAAAATAAGAAATGTGGAGTTAAAGAACGTTCACCGACGTTCTTCGTTAGGACAAATATGTTCTGCACATATGATATTCGATAAAAGTGTCATCTATACTTCGTGCGTATGTCACGAAATATGTAAGACGTAGTACGGAACACGTTCGTATTTTATGAGTTCCTTATTTTTTAACTTCTCTCATAATTATTAATTACTTTTGGAAATTCAACGTTAACAGTTAATGAAAATTATTGAAATTATTACTTATAAAGTACAAAAGGTATTCTTAAGAAGAAGCAAATTATTTTCTATCGTTTTCGAACTTGCCTTAAAGTTGCATTACTTCTGCGCAGAATGCTATAGTATAGTGATGTGTTAGTGTGTTGTGTACTTAGTTGTAAGTCAAAGTAAAGTGTAAAATGGAAGATTTGTTGCCTTAATCGAGTTTATTGTAAATAATTCCTCCATACATGTTTTGGAAGAGTATAGACATTATTGCAGAAATGATGTTAAACGGCATTTGTTGCTTACTTAAGAGATAGCACTATAGAAATGACTCCAAAACGGAAGGTACGTACACTTTGTATAGGTTATACGATCATTATAATTTCATAGTTTATACCATATCTAAACTTTAATTAATGCACGTAATATTATTGTCAAATGATAGACCACTAGCTCAGAATCTACTTCAACAACCAGTTCTGGTTCTTCATCTAGTAGTTCTTCAAGTTCAGGCAGTGAATCTAGCTCATCCGATTCAGAAAATTCCAGTAGCTCTGCTAATAGTAAAAAAGTATCTGACACAGAAAGGGCAAAAAAGAAGACACCATTCCCTGCTAATAGACATGGCAAATCTAAAGCTGACACAGTTGTTGCTCCATCTGCAGAAAATAAAAATAAAGAAAGAATACCACCGAAGAGTAGACCTGTGGTATACTCTTCAGAATCAGAGGAATCACCAAGTAAAGTAAAACCTACAGCAAAGAGAAAGCCTCCAGCTAAACCTAAAGCAACTGCCACAGTAGCACCTGTTGTTAAACAACAAAGGCCACCTGTTAAAGCATTAATTGCTTCTGGCCAGCAGAAGAATACACCAAATTCTAAACCACTTGCTAACAAGCCAAACAAACCTTCTAGTAAGAACATATTTATTTAAAATAATTTTTTAAGATTTATCTTTTATATCCTTTCCTACTTTATAATGTGTTTTTTTAATAGCCTCCACAAATGCTAATGGAAAAGGTCCTGACAAATCTGCAAAAGCAACCTCAGAACCTGTGCAAAAGAAATTAAAGAAGAAAAGTATATTCAGTCCTGAGAATAGTAGTGAAAGTGACAGTGGTATTCCAACCAAAACTAGCACAGTAAAACCTGCAAATAATTCTGTAAAATACACAAAGAATCAGCAGCCTAAATCAAAACCAAATGAAACAAAACAGAAAACTATCACTCCAAATAGGCCCAGTATGTAAATTCAATATTATTTCGTTAAATAAGCAACATCATTGAGAATTTTAAGCCAAAGTTTCGTTCTATTATATCAGGTCTATTAGCAAAATCTGTACAATCACAAAAGTCAGATAGTTCTGCAAGCTCAAAGAGCTGCTCTGCAGGATCAGGTTCCTCAGGCTCTACAGATAGCAGCACCGACTCTGAATCGTCGGAGAGTGTTGCAAGCCCACAGCCTCAGATAAAAAGAAAAGATACTCAACCAACTACAGCAATAAGCGCTACTATAAATGCTCCTCCAAAGCGGCCTTCCGCGGCGGTTGCGCCTGTGAAACCGCAAAAATGTACAAAACGACAGGGTGGGTAAACGCGTAATCAAATATTAGGAATTGCGTAAAGTTACATCAACATTTTATTTAACGTTCAGGTGCAATAAAAAGCGAGGATGAAGGCGACGCGTCTGCGAGTGAAAAAGAAATGGACGAACCTGGTGAAACGGGCACGGCGAAGGCAACGGCCAAAGGCAAACGAAAGTTACAGACACGAAAAGGAAGCAAATTGCTTCAGCTTCAAGCAAAGGCAGCCAGTGACTCGGAATCTGACACAGGTACGAATGTATTGTAGCAATAAGTATGTCACAGTATGCAACATTTCGTTACTAATCTCACATTTCCTCCCTACTTCCTTGTGGATATTATGTTTCCATTTAAAAGACGCGTGGTATTTCCTTAAGATTCTACTATTTAACACATTACCTTCCTATAAGTATTATTAGTTGTGTATCCTTAGCATAAACTAGTCTCCTACATATTTTTCTTCTTTATCGTTTTGAAATTGTAGAAAGTTGTTTTAGAAGTTAGAATACTAACCAATTTTGTTTTGTCCTTGGATAAGTTCAATTCCTTCTATCAACCTATCATTGCAACCACTACTGCCAAAACACACTTCATGCATATAGATACATTTTGACTTGTAGTACCACCGTTCTCTCGTAGTAAATTGTCTCTAGACATATTTTTCGATTAGTTTTGATGTCGGGAGAAAATTTCTCGAAGTTTTCTTAGCATGAGTATGTTGAAAAACGAGGCGGGTAGAGAATTTTCTGCAGGCGGTGGATTTAGGACTCTATGCTGCCTCCTTAACACAAAAAAGCAGTATTTGCGGTTCTGGATGGATGGATTGGACATATATATGGCCCGTAGGAATCCACTGGTCGATGGGACAAACATTTCGTATACAAAAAAGCATGTCCAAGGTGTCCTAAGATGCAGATACAGTCTTTTTGCTTACGGCGGCAGTATGGTTCTCAGGTACGGAAACGGTAGCGTGTAAACGTATCCTGCAAATTCCGCTGATCCGGTGTGATTTATCGAGAGTAGCTGAAAGCAAGAGGAGTACCAGCAAATCGCCTGTAAAACGTGCTGGGCCTAGTACCGCCGCGAGACAGTCGTCAGGAACCAACAGACTACCACAGAACAGCGGTACGTCGAACGTTACCAGCGGAAGATCAGGACAAGGGAATTATGGTCGCACACGCGTCACCAAGGAAAGAGAATGCCCATTAGCACCAACTTGCGATTCACGTGGTCATCTTTCTGGAAAGCTCGATTCGCATTTTACATTGGAATCTTGCCCTTTGTATCATAACACGACGCAGCAAGCATGCGTGTAAGTTATCATTTTATTGCGATACACGAGAAATATGTGATGTGTGCTACAGATACGTTAAAGTAGCTTCTTCCTTCTGCAGGGAATTTTACAAAGAAAGAAAAAAACGCGAAGAAGAGAGGAAAAAAGCTGTAGCATGCTTGGCGAAAAAGTCTCCAAAGGGTATGCACCAAACAACGGAGCAAAGAAACTATCAGCTGAAAGTAAGGGAAATGAGAAACAAATGGAAAGGAAACGCTGGCGATGGAAACGAAAGCGACAGCAGTAGCGAGCTTCAAGGAAATGAGAAAGACCGTCAGCCAAGATTGACGAATCTAACTCCGGAATACCAGCCAGTGACTCGGAATCTGACACAGGTACGAATGTATTGTAGCAATAAGTATGTCACAGTATGCAACATTTCGTTACTAATCTCACATTTCCTCCCTACTTCCTTGTGGATATTATGTTTCCATTTAAAAGACGCGTGGTATTTCCTTAAGATTCTACTATTTAACACATTACCTTCCTATAAGTATTATTAGTTGTGTATCCTTAGCATAAACTAGTCTCCTACATATTTTTCTTCTTTATCGTTTTGAAATTGTAGAAAGTTGTTTTAGAAGTTAGAATACTAACCAATTTTGTTTTGTCCTTGGATAAGTTCAATTCCTTCTATCAACCTATCATTGCAACCACTACTGCCAAAACACACTTCATGCATATAGATACATTTTGACTTGTAGTACCACCGTTCTCTCGTAGTAAATTGTCTCTAGACATATTTTTCGATTAGTTTTGATGTCGGGAGAAAATTTCTCGAAGTTTTCTTAGCATGAGTATGTTGAAAAACGAGGCGGGTAGAGAATTTTCTGCAGGCGGTGGATTTAGGACTCTATGCTGCCTCCTTAACACAAAAAAGCAGTATTTGCGGTTCTGGATGGATGGATTGGACATATATATGGCCCGTAGGAATCCACTGGTCGATGGGACAAACATTTCGTATACAAAAAAGCATGTCCAAGGTGTCCTAAGATGCAGATACAGTCTTTTTGCTTACGGCGGCAGTATGGTTCTCAGGTACGGAAACGGTAGCGTGTAAACGTATCCTGCAAATTCCGCTGATCCGGTGTGATTTATCGAGAGTAGCTGAAAGCAAGAGGAGTACCAGCAAATCGCCTGTAAAACGTGCTGGGCCTAGTACCGCCGCGAGACAGTCGTCAGGAACCAACAGACTACCACAGAACAGCGGTACGTCGAACGTTACCAGCGGAAGATCAGGACAAGGGAATTATGGTCGCACACGCGTCACCAAGGAAAGAGAATGCCCATTAGCACCAACTTGCGATTCACGTGGTCATCTTTCTGGAAAGCTCGATTCGCATTTTACATTGGAATCTTGCCCTTTGTATCATAACACGACGCAGCAAGCATGCGTGTAAGTTATCATTTTATTGCGATACACGAGAAATATGTGATGTGTGCTACAGATACGTTAAAGTAGCTTCTTCCTTCTGCAGGGAATTTTACAAAGAAAGAAAAAAACGCGAAGAAGAGAGGAAAAAAGCTGTAGCATGCTTGGCGAAAAAGTCTCCAAAGGGTATGCACCAAACAACGGAGCAAAGAAACTATCAGCTGAAAGTAAGGGAAATGAGAAACAAATGGAAAGGAAACGCTGGCGATGGAAACGAAAGCGACAGCAGTAGCGAGCTTCAAGGAAATGAGAAAGACCGTCAGCCAAGATTGACGAATCTAACTCCGGAATACGATTTGAAATTGTTCATGGAGGCGCAGGCGATCGCCAGTGAAAAAATTGTAGGTTTTCAAGGTACCTCTTTGTGTACCTTAACGTCGTACTAACTGTACAATATTTCTTTTGCAATAGGAGAAGGAATTGAAAGAATTGGATTACGATGGTGAAGGTAGAAACGGTGGCGGAACAAGAGTTATCGAAATGGGAAAATGGGAAATGGAAGTTTGGTACCAGAGTCCCTATCCAGAAGAGTTCAGCCGCGCTCCGAAGCTTTATTTATGCGAGTATTGCTTGCGGTATGCGAAAAGCCGTCAAGTTTTAAGGAGGCATCGAGAGAAATGTTTATGGAGACATCCACCTGGACACGAAGTGTACAGGTTGGTAGATAAACGTGATTCTGATAATCTTCAGATGAGTAGAATTATACATGTCGCTCTTTCTTCACAATGTTTATACAGGAAAGATAAGATAGGTGTATGGGAAGTTGACGGAAAACGTTATAAGCAATATTGTCAGAATCTTTGCTTGCTGGCAAAGTTCTTCCTGGACCACAAGACGTTGTACTACGACGTCGAGCCTTTTCTTTTCTACGTGATGACCATTGGCGACGTCGAGGGTTGTCATACAGTTGGATATTTCAGCAAGGTGAGTGTTTCTTACTCTGTATACTGTGAGAAAAAAGAAAAATGAACGTTATTCTTAACGCTTATGGAAAGCAAATTCCAATAAGCGTTTGCGTAATTATTAAGCGACAAGTTCAAAGAAGAATAAACATGTAAAACCATCGATTATTTATCACCTAATATACTATATTTTTCTACGTATATGTGCAAATGTAAAACGACTAAATCGAACCAAGGGAGATACTGCAATATGGGCGAAAGGTAGAACAGCGTGTTCGAAGAAACCGTTCTGAACGTGGTTAAAAAATAAAATCAAGCGAAGTATAAAAGAAAAATTATCCAGGCGTTTCTTATTGGCACGGATCTCGTTGCGACAAGTCACCAACGTCGAAATTAATGCGAAGCACGTGCATGTACGTGAGTGACTGTACGCGAACGATTGTGTCTGTCTCTTTTGGTTGTGTCTGTTAGCACTTGCGTAAACCGGGCCAACGTTTACGTGGTAGGCATCTGTATCGTACGACCCTCGCTGATGATATTAAAATCGTTTAACCTGTTAAAAAGTAACGTTTCATCTT